GTTTTTATGTCAGAGTGACGAAAGGCGCGCGGAAGCCAGACTACCCGCTTTTGGCTCTATTTTCAGGGCTCTGTAAAAATTATAAATAATCGAGATACAGTTTCGGGAGTCGGGACTTTTTTACGGAAATTCATTGATCTTTTCAAATCTTTTTTCAAATTTCCAAAATTTTGAAAATTTTCCGAGATATTAGGAAAAAACTAAAGCCCCATTTTTTTCCACTTAATTGTTTATAACTTTTGTAATATTTATCGGCGCGTTTTCGGACCTGTCCTTGAACTTTCTAGGCAAAAATACGAATCGAATGACACCTTGTTCGTAATTTTTGGACAGGGCTGAAAAATGTTACAAAAAAGAGCTAAATCGAGTACGTGTGAACCAGACTATTAGTTTATTACATAAAGTATCAATATGTTGATTCCATATTAATTTTTTATTTAGAACAATTCCTAGCATATTTACAGTTTATACAGGACTAATTGATTTTTCGCTATTTTCATATAGTATCACATTTGAATCCCTCTGACTAAGTCTGCTGAACAATAAGGTGTTAGATTTAGATTTGTTGAGTTTCAAATTGTTCTTTTCAGCCCACAATATGATTTTATCGTATATATCCTCAGCAGTTTTACAGAGTGCCTCCATGTTGTCTTCAACAATCAAAATAGCTTGAGCAATATGGTATAAGGGGTGTAGCATTGAATTTAATGAAATCATACTTAACTGATCGATCCCAGAGTGTAATCATCAACACAACTCAGAGCCAATCTCTCATTGTTAAGCAGGGAGTTCCCCAAGGCTCAATTCTTGGACCTTTGTTATTTTTAATCTATTCCAATGATCTTATAAATTTCCTCCTTGACATCTCTAAAGTCCAAGTAATATCATATGCTGATGATACAAATCTACTCATAACTGGTGAAGATACTACTTAACTTGTGATAACATCAGAAATGGTATACAATAAAGTAATAGAGTGATGACTCGAAGAAGAAGAAGAATAAGAAGAAAAAGAAGATCACCCGAAGACGATTGTAGATACTAACAATCGAAACGTCGTGAACTAACGTGACTTGGAATATCTTCACTTTTTATTTGTATTTTCTTTTTTCATTTCTTTATTTTTATTTATTGAATTGTTCTATTTTTACTTGTATTTCATTTCATTATTATCTCATTTCATGGTTAGAGGAAAGATATAAGCAAGTTCAATTTATTAGTTCGTAGTATTGACTGACGAATATTGACTTATTTTTATTGATAAAGCCTACTTCACACTGAACACAACTGTGAGAATCTTGTGTTTTTCGAAGGGCAGTCTACATGGGCCAAGACAATTCAGTTTGCTTATGATCCCTTACAGCTCGTTTTTGTTGCATCAACACACTTTGTAACAATGAAATGTATGGAATGATTCATTTTTTCACCTCTCAACTATTGAGCATTGTTAGATCGTTCGCATACAGGTGACAAAGATAGTACCAAGGATGGACCCTTGAGGCACTTCATTATTGATGAAGTTCATAAATTCTATTGGTTTTCACTATCTGCGTCTGATTTGATAACTGAATTGCACATACGCCCTCCATTCCATAGCAGTGAAGCTTCTGCTTCAGTTTTCATGCAGTCAAATGCCTCAGACAAATCAGAAAAACTGACGCGGACACAAAAAACGAACGCGATCACAAAAAAACTGATGTGGCCTCAAAAACTGACGCGGTCACAAAAAAATGACGCGAATACAGAAACCAACGCGATCACAAAAACTGACGCAGTCACACAAAACTGCCGCGGTTACAGAAACCGACGCGGTCACAAAAACATACGCAGTCACACAAAACTAATGCTTTTTTTCATTATATTTGATTACTGGAAGGAAAATCAATCATAATCAAATCACTCCATTTAATTAGTTTTCATTTCAGTCTTTGCTCTCTCCGTTATTTTATCTAGGTCTTGGTTGCGATTTTGTAAACTTCAAATTGGAAATTTCACTTCAAAGTATGATTTTTTTAATACGTTCGATCAGTGTTTAACTAATAACAGCTTCTGTAGGCTATTAAATATAAGACATCGAGGATATGATTACCCGTGTGCAATATTATTCCATCTCCAGAACAAGAAACGATCTGATTATCACTAGTGCAAGGCAGGAACTTGGCGCTGAATATATTAGCTCGGTGACTAGTGCGGTAACACTCCTTGACGTTGGCATCGTGAGCATTTGTGATTACTAAATGTTGATCATCCGATCCGGACAAAATATACTCCCCAGTGTCATTCCAACAGATTGAATTAACACACCCTTGGTGGATGAGCATGTTCCTGATGAGGCCCAATCTTTGAACGAAGCTCTCATCGCCTGTAATATCAATAAAGGTATAGGTACTTTATTGTCGAAAGTAAGGAATACTTTACATACAATACACACACACACATACACAGTGTGTATATACACAATATACATACATACATAACCACAAATACGTACATACAAATTGAATGCATCATGTCCCAAAAAAATGTATAAACAAAAATATTATGACAGAGTAAAAAAATAGATCTTACATGATGGCACTAAAAGAGAATGTCAGAAAACAAATTCACCAATATATTTTACAATTCGAAATTCTGTGTATAGAGAACGTTTTGAAAGGTCTTTCTTCGAACTATAATACGGCCTAATTTCTGAATTATCTCCAGATTTATTTTTATATGTTCAAGAAATCGATTATACATCTTACCTCCATTCTATTTTAATGAATCTTTGGTTAAAGGTAAGATATAAGCAAGTTCAATTTATTAGTTCGTAGTATTGACTGACGAATATTGACTTATTTTTATTGACAAGGCACACTGAACACAACTGTGAGAATCTTGTGTTTTTCGAAGGGCAGTCTACATGGGCCAAGACAGTTCAGTTTGCTTATGATCCCTTACAGCTCGTTTTTGTTGCATCAACACACTTTGTAACAATGAAATGTTACAAGTGTATGGAATGATTCATTTTTTCACCTCTCAACTATTGAGCATTGTTAGATCATTCGCATATGGTAGACAAAGATGGTACCAAGGACGGATCCTTGAGGCACTTCATTATTGATGTTTTCAACATTATAAATTGTATTTATACGTCTGATTTGATAACTGAATTGCACATACGCCCTCACATTCCATAGCGGTGAAGCTTTTGCTTCAGTTTTCATGCAGTCAAATGTCTCAGACAAATCACAAAAACTGACGCGGTCACAAAAAAATGACGCGAATACAGAAACCAACGCGATCACAAAAACTGACGCAGTCACACAAAACTGCCGCGGTTGCAGAAACCGACGCGGTCACAAAAACTGACGCAGTCACACAAAACTGATGCTTTTTCTCATTATATTTGATTACTGCAAGGAAAATCAATCATAATCAAATCACTCCATTTAATTAGTTTTCATTTCAGTCTTTGCTCTCTCCGTTATTCTATCTAGGTCTTGGTATTCTTCAGACCTCTCCAATAAAATGATGTCATCAGCATAGAGTTCATATTTGGTAAGGTCATTAAATAATGGAAGATCATCAATATGAATAAAAAATCAAAAACTGACACGCCCACAAAAAACGAACGCGATCACAAAAAACGAACGCGATCACAAAAAACTGATGCGGCCACAAAAACTGGCGCGGTCACAAAAACTGGCGCGGTCACAAAAACTGACGCGGTCACAAAAACTGACGCGGTCACAAAAACTGACGCGGCCACAAAAACTGACGCGGTTACAGAAACCGACGCGGTCACAAAAACTGCTGCAGTCACACAAAACTATTGCTTTTTCTCATTATATTTGATTAGTGAAAGGAAAATCAGTCATAATTTAATTGGTTTTCAGTTCAGTCTTTGATCTCTCTGTTATTCTATCTACGTCTTGGTTTTCTTCAGACCTCTCCAATAAAATGATGTCATCAGCATAGAGTTCATATTTGGTAAGGTCATTAAATAACGTAAGATCATCAATATATTGCTATTGGGATTTATTCCTGTTTGGACATTAAACATTTTTTTTTAAATATAAATCAAGAACAGCAATAGATCAAGGATGCCAGAAGTAAGATCACATTTATTTGACATATTTTTTATAAATTTTATCATTTGATAACGTTATTTCAAATAATAATGAATAACCTTGATATTGTTCCATTTGGAGCAACAGTTTTTCTATTAGACTTGCGCTAATATTCAACTTGTTCAAATGTATTTAGATATATTGATTGTGTACTTCTAGTTTGGTGGTTTTAGTGATTCATTTTTGTGAATAAGTCATTAAATAAAGTCCACTGTTTTGCTTCGCTAAGAGCTTGAAAGTTAGTTGAAACTGCAATATCTTCGATCTTTTCAAATTTGCATTGGTATCATTCGAAAATATGTAGCTTACCTGATCAACTGAAGCAAATTGGCACAAAAAAGATATACAACGATAATTGCTACATTTGTCTTTAAATCTCAAGTTAATATTGTTTATAATGATGTTAGTTATGACCCCAAACATTTTGAGATCAGTAATTCAAGGAAAAAATTCTGTTCTTCTGGTCATCACAAGTTACATTATTCTGAGAATGGATTAGAGATCAAACATTTAATCGGATACAATTTTTATGTGATGTTGAGAAAACCATTTCAGCTTTCATGATCTCTTAAGCTTTTACAATCATGAAATTATAGATTAGGGTGTGTTAATGATATTATGTTAAAAATGAAATCATAGCAAGCTCAGCGGTGTCAAATTCGAACAAGTTGCAGACAAAGGAAAATATTTCATTCCTATGATTCATAATAATTTTAAAACTAACATTTTGGAATCAAGCCCATAGATATCTTTACAGCTCTTATTTTTAGTATCTCCCATTTGTATGAAAGTTATCTCCTTGAAAGTGGAACCTTCCACTAACAAGTTCCTTTTCATGATATTATTGTTGGTATTAGCTTCTTTAGAGTTTATCTAAGTTTTTATAGATCAGATATTCATTTGGTAGCGAACAGTGACTCACCTTTTGCTATTTCATAAGTTTTCGTTCTGTTACCGCTGTACTGTCTCTTGTAAATATCTCTGAACATCGATTTGCGTTCATTGTTCATTTTGTTGCTTAATTTAGTTCAAGTGGAGCTTATAATTTTTTTTGTACTACTGCTAAAAATAGACCATTTTTGGAGAGTTTCGTAAAATTCATGTTTTATAATGTGACACTCGGATGCTGATGCATAGATGAAAAGTTTAATTTTTCACTTCTCATGTGAATTGCATTTTGTTGCAGATCAAGAACAAAATAAATAAAATTAGATAAACAATAGACCTGTCACTGTCAAATGAATTGGGCATATGCGCAACTGACGTTTTGCTGGGTGAGTAAACCTGGAGACATTCACAGAACACAGTTCTTTCCATCGAACTAAAACCCAGAGATTTAGTTCTGTGATTGTTTACCGTTTACCTTTGCTAAACTAGTGCCACAGTGAAATTATATTAAGTTCCACGACCCGTAAAATGATTGTCCCTAATGTTGAGTGCTTGATAAAAAAAAGCAAATAATCATCATTTTTGGAATTAATTTGAAACTGGAAAATAATGGTATTCATAACATTCATAGTTGAGAAATAATTCATGACTATATATTTATGACCCTTGGGCGACTTGAAAAACTCATATACCTGTACTTATAACGGAGTCTTCCAAAAACACTGGGTTTCAGGATTCAGGAAATAATTTTTTCGTTAATTTGCTGCTAAATAATTAATTTTAATGCATTATTTTTCATTACGAACTGTATGTTTCAATCATGATTATTTTCATTCGAGAGATTGGAACTTTAAAAAAATGAACTGTGCTTCGTTACAAAGATTAGAGAAATCATCGCTATGAATTTGGAAACACATCTTAATGAATGTCAAATGAACCAAAACAAAATTATAGTACTCATTGCACCCTAAAACAAATACATTTTTAAGGATCCTTTTATTTGCAGAACAATCATGTCAAAGCATTACAAAAGTTGTTGGTGACGACTGATCACGGCCTAATTTCATAAATGGCAATAGCCGGGGGTTCACACCGCCCACATTTTGTCACAGCGTAAATAGTTACTTGAATGGTCGAAGTCAGGTCCAAAGAATGAATCATAGCGCTCGTCCTACCGCCGCTCATGACCTTCGACTTGTTCACTCCGTTGATAAAAATGTCGTAACCCGTTATGCTGTTTCCTCGAGGCGGTTTCCATTTGATTATGATACTGTCCTTTGTGATGCGTCTTATGTCCACGATCTCGAATCCGCTTAAATCGACGTGCGGCGGGTCTTTCGTCCGATGCGACTTGCCGCACTTGCAGGTCTTCGAAGATTTCTTTTTCTTCTTCTCCGTTTCTATAGCTCTCGACATTTTATCGTCGAAATGGCTTTTGACAGGCACCTCTTCTTCTACGGTGTATAGGACGTTAGTGGAAATGACCTCGTGCGATCGGTCCAGCGATTTGACATCGTCTGCCTTGTCGTAGTCCGGGGCATCACTGATGGATTTGTTCAAAACTTTGTCAAAAGTCTTGCTGCTGGTCCGCTGCTTCAACTCTCCCGTCATAGCGTCGATCATTCTATCCTTGGCTTTGCACTTCTCCTGCAGATTAGTCAGCGCCAACTTCAGACCGGACATCGTTTGTCCGAACGCGGATGCTTGCTTCACCAGTGGCTTGCTCTTCAAGGCCTTGAGTTCCGCTTCGGTGCAAGCGCACTTGATTTTTGTCAGCGCCTTGCGAATTTCTTCGATTTGCTCGCGACATTCGCAATTTTCCTTTTGATCTTTTTCTATTTTCTTTTCTAGAGCTTCGTCGTTCATTTGCGACAGATCGATATCTGCCAATTTGGCTTCGCAAGCGCAGCACGTGGGACAAGTGCAATTCGTGGAATGTTGTTCTGAATCGACCTCTGTCTGTTGCTGGAGTTTGCTGACTTTTGCCTGGACAACTTGATCTGGACACGGTGCGCAAACGCAGGTAGGACAATCACACTCGGGAACTTGCATCTGGGGTACGTCTCCTATTTGCCCAGAAATAACATTGGATTGCTTTTGAGATACGTGGGATGCTTGGGCAGCCATTTGGCCAGATATGTGAGATCGTTGGGCAGGCATTTGGGAACCTTGTTGTCCTGATACGTGAGATGGCTGAGCAGCAATTTGGGTAGACTGTTGACCCGATATGTGAGATTGTTGCGCAGGCATTTGGACAGATTGTTGTCCTGATATATGAGATTGTTGGGTAGACATTTGGACAGATTGCTGACCTGATACGTGAGATGGCTGAGCAGCAATTTGGGTGGACTGTTGACCCGATATGTGTGACCGTTGTGCAGGCATATGGTTAGATTGTTGCCCTGATATGTGAGATGATTGTGTGGCCATTTGGGCAGATTGTTGTCCAGATATGTGAGACGGCTGAACAGCTATTAGAGTAGATTCTTTTTGAGATGATACTGAAGGAGCGAATGATATCTGGGCAGATTGTTTTCCAGATACATGAGATGGCCGGCAAGACACTTGAGACGACTTTGGAGGTATGGGGGGTGCCGAAAAATGAGTATTAGGACACTGGCAAGATGGACACTCACAATGAGCTACCGGTAAAGATCTGTTCGGCTGGGATTGCTTTCCAGATATACGAGACGTTTGAGCTGACACCTGTGGTTGAATCTGTTTGGATGTTTGGGCTGATACTTGAGGCCTTCCAGATATATTTGATTGTTTTCCTGAAATATGTGAAGGTTGTCCAGAAACGTGTGACGCTTTTCCAGAAATATGTGATGGTTGTCCAGAAACGTGTGAAACTTTTCCAGAAATATGTGATGGTTGCCCAGAGATATGAGATGGTTTTCCAGAGATATGAGATGGTTGTCCAGAGATATGAGATGGTTGCCCAGAAACTGCAGGTGGACATGATACATGTGAGCCCGGACATGATGGGTGACATGATACATGGGAAGGTTGTCCGGATGCGTGAGAAGTTGGGCAAGACACTCGGCGTACTTCTGTTGATTGCTTGGCGGACATTCGAGATTGTTTATCAGCTAGAGGTGAGAAAATACCAGCTTGGAAATCCTGAGCTTTTGCTGCACACGAACATGTTGGACATTCGCAGTGTAGTCTCGACACTGGCCTAGCAGAATCAGGCGCGGAAGAAGGACGGGCCGATACATATTCCTTTTGACTAACCGCCATAGAAGGTGTCGACTGTGGTTGAACTGTTCCTCCCTGGACTAGCATAAGTTCGTCTTGGCTGATGGGTGGTTGCCCACCTTCCTTGTTGCAACTTGGGCAAGTACAAATTTGGCAAATACATGGTGCTCTAAAGGGCACTTCAAAAGGCGGTGCTTCCGCAGTTGCAGGGGCTGATACTTTACTTCGGTCGTGAATCGAATTATTGATTGCTGGTTGTTCTTCACTCTCGGTTGCTCTTCTCTCTGAACAAATTACGCAGGAACACGTACTGCAGTCGCAAAGTTTCCTGATAGGCGTTTCGAACGGTGGGGGATCCATTAATTTCTGCTCTGCAGCATTGGGTTGGGGTACACCGAGCACTTGTTCTGGTGGAACCTCGTTGGGTTGAGGCTTCTGTAAGAATCCACACACAACACACTCGCAATCGCCACAGTTGCAAATTTGAGTATTTCCGTTCGGAACTGTTGGAATTTCTTCTTTACCACAATTCAAGCATATGCAGGTGGCGCATTTGCAATTAGGGTTGTGCTCCCCGGCAGGCCCGGGAAACGATGCTGCTGCCGGTACTCCCGTCTTATTTCCAGCCCCAGCTTTTGCTTTGTCGAAACAGTCGATGCAGATACATGCCAGACATGTGCACGTATCTGGATGTTTCAACTCCTGCTTCGGCTTTTCTCTCGAACAAACATCGCAGTTGCATTCGATGCAATGGCACGGTGCCAAAACGGCCAGTGTTGGAGGAGTCTCAGACGTCACTGTTTCAGGCGTAGCTACCGGTTTTTCTGATTTCGGTTCAGGATCGGGGGCAGTAGCCGGCTCCGTCTCGATGTAAGAGCACTTCTCGCACAAGCAAACGCCGCATTTACACTCATCGTAATCGTATTTTGGTTTTATGGACCAATAACACACTCCGCATATCGTCGGATCGTCACAAATACATTTCTTTTTAGTGACTTTTTCCATTTGTTCCACTTTTTCGACGAAACTAATGGCTTGAGGAACGCCGAATTTGGACGCTTTCGAAGGGACACCTCTCATCGCGTCTCCCCTTGGTTTAACCTTCGGGCACTCCACGCAAATGCAGTCGCCACACTTGCATTCAAGAGCGTGTGATATTCTATCAATTTTGCCGTAACAATCGACGCATTGGCACACTGAACACGAGCAGCCTTCCACGTGCCCTGTAGGTTCTGTCGGTCCGTCCGTCTGATCCGACACCGGCTGGTTCACTACTGTTTCTTCAACCGCTGCCTGAACTGCATCCACCTCCTCGGGACACTTGCATTCTGCGCAGATACACTCCTGTGCATGTGTTCCGCTATCCGTTTTCGTACCTACGCTCGGTTTAGCGGACACCGCTTGGCTGAAGTCGCTCGCCGTCTCCATGACTTCGTCCAGGCATTGGCACTCGGTGCAGGTGCAGTTATCCGGGTGACCGACTTTGGTGGGCTCCGGAGTGGGTAATCCATCCGAACAAAGGCATTCCTGGCAGATGCACTCGTCTGGGTGTTTTTCATCGCTAGTTGTGAGGGGCTGAGTTTTCGACTCGCCAGTGGGTAGTGGTTCGGTCGGTTTCTCGTCTCCCTTTCCCAGAGCTTTATCTTTGCCAGGACACTCACAAATATCACACGTGCACCCCTTTGGATGGGACGGGGCTTGGACGCTCGATTTTTCTTTCAAAGGTTTATCGCTGCAAATAGCGCTTTGTTTGGCGACAACAAAAGGCTTATTCTTAGTCGGATCCGCGCACGGTTGGCATTCGCATACTGGACAATCACAAGGGACCGGCGCGCTCTTAGCCACGGTTGCCGGCGTCTTCTTTTTCTTCGGATCCTGGCACGGCGAACATTCACACACTTCACAGTCGCACTCAGCGAGCGGTCTGTGCTCCGGAATGGGCTGCAACGGTGTAGGTTTTTGTTCGGAAGGCTTTGCCGAAATCGGTTTCTGTTCAGTGGGTTTTAAGGTGGCAGCTCCAGGGCAATCACACTTTTCGCACGTGCACTCTTCTTCTGGTTGGTCGCCTTGAGCGCTCGATGGTTCGGGACACAAGCAAGTAACGCAGTCGCAATCGGAGGGTTTTTTTCCGGGGGGCGGTTGAGATTTGCTCTCGATTTTGCTTACTTTTGAAGCCGCCGCTGGTAGTTGAGAAGCGATTGTAGGTACTTTAGATGCAGTCGTAGGTATGTTAGATGCGGTCGTAGGCATGTTAGATGCGGTCGTAGGTATGTTAGATGCGGTCGTAGGCACATTTGAGGCGGTCACAGGTAAATTGGAAATGTTCGTTGGTACTTTTGAAGGAGATTTCGACATTTTTGATGATGACTTGGGACACACGCACTTATCACAATCACAATCATCAGGATGGGGCTCTTCTCCTGGAGATGCCGGTGTTTCTTGAGGCGCCCTATCGGTCTGCCCTTTAGACATTGGGCATACGCATTCTGTGCAGTCGCAATCCTCAGGCCGTGACAATGACAATGCCTTCACCAGCTTTTCCGATTCCTTCTTGCTCATCTTAGACTGTTGAGCCGAAACCGGATCTTTCGCTTTGTCACCTTGGTCAACAGGACAAGATTCGCACGTGCATTCACCTTTGCAGCAACAACCTTTGACTCTGACTTTGTTACTCGAAGGCGCAGGCGTGGCGCTCTTCGCCCCTTTCAGCTGATCGCAGGGAAGTTGTGACGGGACCTCATCGGCCGGCACAGGTTTGGGTTTGTTGAAACAGACTTTGCACTCACACTCGCCACAGCTGCACATCTTTGCCAGCTGGCTGGGGGTGACTCCTGGGGCTAGTTTACTCGCGGTGACACCCGGAGTTTCGGGAATTTTTTTCTTCGCTTGATCGCCGCAGGGGGAGCACTTGCACTCCTCGCAGGTGCATTCCGTGGGGGTCGGGAGCTTTATTTTCGGCGGGCTAGCGTTCGAGTTGGTCGCTATTGGAATCCGAGACCGTTCCATGGCCAATTTCTTGGCATTGATCGCGTTTATACACTCGCACTTCATCGACACCTGGTAGATCTGCTTTTCGTCCCTAATAACGGGAAATTCCCGAGTCTGCGCCAATTGCTGGATTTTCGGTAGGCAGAGGCAGTCAATGCATTCACAGCTGCGTGGGTGCGGAAATTTTTTGGGAGGTTCTTCGTAGAGCTCTAGAGGACAGTTTGTGGCCGGAAGAAATACGTCTTCGATACTGATGCGCTTTCTGTTTTTGGGTACGGCACCTCGGTTTGTATCGAGGTTGGTGCTGCGCAGAAATGCCTCAGTTTTAAAAGGAGAGCAACACGGACACCCAGGTTGGTGGCCCGACTGCATGTAAATCGCTTGATTTTTCTGCGAAGGAAAAACACAGCAGCATAGTTTCTCCGACTCTGGGTCCGGAGGTTTAACGGTTCCGGTGGCCGCCTTCCTCTTGGCCATTATTTCTGGTGAACAAACGACGCACTGGCACACTCCGACGCAATCGCACGCGCTGTAGTCCAGTTTAGAGGAACGCTTTTTCTTCTGCCTTTTCCCCCCCGAACTGCTGCTGATCGGGGGAGGATTATCTCTGTCTGACAACTTCGATACGGAATCTGGTACTTCTGATGAACTTTTGCGTTTTTCCGGTTTCTTTTCTGTTTTCTCTGGACGTTTCGATTTATTTTTCTCGACTTCTGTTTTGGACCCCACAGAATGTTTTCCTTCAATGGGATCTCGATCTGCATTAGTAGGTAACGGTTCTCGGGCACTTTTGTACGATTCTGAAGGTTCGCTGGATGTCTCGCGACGAGTAGGGGTAGTTTGTGATAGTTCAATGGCATCTTCTCTATTAGTTTTTCGTGAACTTTCGCTCTCAACTATCTGTTCCTTCTGAGCGTTGCTCCTGTCTGGAAAATGGAGAAAACACTTTTAGTTTTTTGACAAAGAAATTAGTTTTATACGAACTAAAATTAAAGTACTGACAATCATCGATTACAAATCCAATTGAGTTTGAAACTATGTTATATAAGGTGTGAGATTTATCTTCTAGTTAAAGAGCAGAGACAATTGCGGGTTTTTTAATGCAAAAGATAAAGTGGACAAGGTGGAGAAACCTGAAGTTTATAAGGTCAAGTGTCCGGAGTGTTTATGTGGGACAATGTGGTCGAAATTCCTCAAAACAGTATGCTGAACATAAAGGTCCTTCGGGCTAGGTAAAAATGATTCGACGTTACTCAAAACATGAATTTCAAATATTTTACAAATGCACCATATTTTTACAAAGTTTCGAAATGACGTTTGAAAGTGCATGGTAAAGACCTGAATACTAATCAAATACAACATGCATAAATTATTTGATTCAATTTCTGAACCGTATATTTTTCATACATACATTCCAATTATTCATGGCTCACCTTGATTATTGCTATGTTTTGAATCCAGAGACTCTTCATTCAAGATACTCAATTCATCTGTAGTTCCTGGAAAAGGAAATGATATCATGATAACGAATTCATTTCTTCAAGAAACACACATGGTGTGGAAAAATGATTCAAAGCAAAACTACCACATAACTTACTACAAATAAGAGAAAAAAGATAAGTAATTTGAAACAGGGAAGAAGAAATGAGAAGCCTGAATATAAGTTCACCACTTTCAAGTGGATTCACATTGGATTTGAATCGCTAAATTAAATCCATTTGGAAAAATGTTCTCAGGAAGTTTATTCTATATGAACGCAGTTCTCCAAATGAGGAACTTCTTAAATAGTGAAGTTCGAGGTGTACTGAGTTGAACCTTAAAACGATGAGCAGCCACAGTTTGTCGCGTATTTCTGATGTTCCACTTTTGGTGCCAAGTCACTTGAACAATTCCTGTGAAAGTATTCATAGAAGAGAGACAAATCCCCAACCTATCTTCGATGTTCCAGACTATCAAGGTTGTAAGTGATGTTCTCGCCTCTAATCAGGCGGACGGCTCTTTTCTGGATGGAATCCAGATATAAAGCGTTACTCAATTAACACATTCCTAATCCCGAACCATAAAACTGTTGCTCAAACCAAGCAAAACATGAAAGGGTGTATTGAACAAAAGCCATTTTTCATGAAGAAAATCAGTTCTTTGGAACTTTTTGGGGATTCACTCCTACCATAATCTGAAAAATAGCACTTTGTAAAATTTTTTTTTTTTTCAGATTGTGGAAGGTTCCATGAAATTTTTTTTCACTTTCTCTCTTTCTCTCTCTCTCTCTGCTCCATGTCGTTTCATCGAGCAGAAATAGCGAATAAATATTGGGGGGAATGATCTAATCAATAATAAGATCAGTGCCAATAAAACGCACTTATAAAAGAACTTAACCACAGAATAGTAATAGTATTCCGTGACCTAATATCACAGAACACCCTAACTACAATATCAATCAATCAAAGAAGAAACTAACCTCATTCCCAGACGTTTATTCAATTTTGGTTTTGTTAGTTTTTCGGTTACATATTTGGTATTAGGGGGGCCCTGCTATAAGCTTAAGCCTCTTCAGCGTCAAAACTTACCTCGTCAATCACACCACAACTGTTGTCGGCGTTTCTAACTATTACATATTTTCATGGTAGGTACGAATATATGGAATAAATAAAAGATATGAAATTATGGTACCCTGATATCTTCAAAAATATTCACAAGTCTCACTGACGCAAGAGTGTAATAATTGGCAAATACATATTTATATAAATAACTATTCCAACAGGTTACTATTACATCGAAAAAAAAATTGATATTCTATGAAATTAGTGAAAGAATTTTCAATTTTTTTGCTAGTGTCACGTCACAGATTGTAGATCACATTAAAAAGTATTCTTTGTCTCTTACAGATAGAAGAAAAATGCCAGATATATTAATGCTGTAGGTACAAATTATTCAAGAAACGTGTCGATTGTCTTACGTTGATAACAAAAATTTCATTGAATACACCTTGCAGAGACTTGCGAAACAATGATCTCTTTGCAATCCCATTTAGAAAAACCAATTCAGGAAAAAACTCTCTTTTATGCAGAATTGTCAGATCCTTCAATACTCATTGCAATAATATTGAAAAACTGAGGTTACCTTTCCTTAGATTTGAAAAGTATGTGAAATCTATTTTTATTTATTAGTTATCGGTTCTTCATATAGATACTGTTTTTTTTTTTAATTTTTTGTTAATATTCATTACTATATAGTGTAATGTACTTAGCATTTATATTTTGTTTTCTCACCATCTTTCATATGTAAAATGAGGATATTTTTGGATTGATTCTGTTTGTATCCCTATTTGTGTAATAAATAAATAAAAAAGTCATCGCTCATTGTGATTGCATCATGATTTGTAGTTTTTTGACCATTCAATGCCAATATTTAATAGGAATGGGCTATTATACTACAATCAGCGAACTAAGTGCTAGTGCATTTTACGATGGAACATGCTACACTGTTGCCATAAGGGGCCATAGATACCAACCATCCTCAGCTAACGAAAACTCAGTCACAGAAGAGTAAACAATCAGAACTTTCACTGACAAGAGCAACACATTTGAAATGTTTTTATGAGTAGACAAAAGAAAGATAATTTACTGTTCTGTGACACAGATTAGGCGCCCTCCACTGTTCTGTAATAAAAATGGCTGGGCACTACCCAGGGCTATCACTAGCAATATTGATATACATGATTCTCTCCGACTTTCATTTATTAATATTCTAAGGCATTTGTTCTGCAATAGAAATAATTTCTGAGCTGCTGATAATAAGATAATAACAGTCTCGACTGAATTTCAGCTTAGAGTTGTAAATAATTTATTTTTAAATCAGTTGCTTTCTTCCTTTTTTCGGAAGACTGCCTCATTTGATTGTGTAAAGATGGAGAAGTAGAAAGCCGAAACCTTTTTTCCCATGAATCAGATTAGTTTCACCATTTTTTCAATTCCTCTGTATTCATTATCGTTAACAATGGGTATGCAACATTTATACAAATTGTAATTTAAAAAAAGTGAATCGAAAATCTACATTCATATTGCTTGAAAATGTAACAAAAATAAATATTGTTTACAAATTTATAGGTATAGTCATCCGTACGAATTCATCATATGATGTTTCCAAAATTTACACGTTTTATTTTAACTTATAACCCGGGACAACACTGTATCAAAACCAGAAACAGTTTACTTATATTTTGTTATGATTATCACGTATACTGTTGTTGAATTTATTTTGAAAGCTCCTTTTAACTGCTCAACCCATCAAACTCAAACCATCAACTGATCAGACAAACTTTGTTATCTCTAAATGTTTTTCTACTTCACAGTAAAAGCATGCCAACATAGATCAAAGTACCTACTCGGTAGTGGTTCTAGAGTTAAAAAAACTCACCTTGGGTCTTTCCGGAATCCAAAGCACTGGCCTCTGCGACATCGCTCACTCCAGAACTCTGCGCGGCTTCACCACTAGCAAATATATCGGTCGACGGATTGGCGGGTTCACCCTCTTCCATTGCCTTCTTCACTGGTAATTTTTGAACAGTCATCTTGGTTTCGGTATTGGTTTCGATGTCTTTCGATGTTGATACTCCGACGTCTTTACAGTCGCAGCACTGACATGATTGTTCTGCAGAAGTAGATGATTGACAGGCGCAGTCACGCTTTTGACGGGGGGCGGCCTTCTTGACGGATTTCGGTCGGTCGTCGGGAGTTTTTGTCTCGGGCTCTTTAAAAATATCTGTGAGTGAGGGTGGCTTTTCGAAAAATAGAGAGTAAACAAGTGGATTTCAGTAGTTGTTGGTAGAATCCACACGGATCACGGATGTATAGAAAACTGTCCGTTTGTGTTTTACATCTCCCACTTAGAAAGTGAGAGATGTAAAAAATATATTATGAAAGAAGTCAGTAAATGTTTGCTGCTTCAATGATTGCAAAAACAGTAGTCAGAAATTTTATAGATTCTCGAAAGATCTCAAAAGGTAAGTAAGTACCTAATGAGTTGTTCAATCTGTATGATTTTTATTCTAGGGCAAACATATGGCTGCAGACCTGATTTGCTTAACAAATTAGAAACACTGTACAAAAGCAGTTATCGTTTATGTGGCGGTCAATTTGAAAATGATGTAATAATAAGTAGCCATATGAAAAAACTTCTACGACAGAATGCTGTACCAACGATATTTATCTGGACATCAAAGTCAAGTACTGATATAGATATGATAATGTCGTTTATAATGATTATTTTTTTAAACAATATCTTTGACTGTTTTGCAATTTTAAATTTTAGGAACCTCTGGGACAGACGACACACCATTATTAGATTTGGCCATCCCTTCTAATTCAACGTCATCCCCAAAATCTTGTTTTTTGTTATTTCACATGAGTACTTATTTGCAACACATATATGTATCAACATTATAGAAAGAAATATTGAAGACGAGAGAGAAAGAAAATTAAACAAAATAAAAATTCACATTCAAAACTGCGGTGAACATTTTTTTAAATAGTCAACGGCCGGTTTTTTGCTCAGTCTGACCGGACGGCGATATCAACACATGTGTGGGCTCTTGAATAGCCAGTGAAATCGCCGTACGGAATAAGTAACTTGCCACAAAATCTTCTATAATATCCTTAAATTTCGTTTTAATATAAGCGCACGCCTATGGTGAAAGAACGAAATCGACTCCGCACTTCATTTCGAGGTCACCGAGGACTATGGGAATTTATGAATGGAAGTAGTGGGTGTTGATTTACTGGTTGATTATTTTTACTGTGGCAGAAGTGTGTGGTCGCAGTTTCTACAAAAATATCATATATAGGGTGTGCGTGTGATATCATCGACATTTTTTATTCGTTTGTGAGACCTATTGATGCCATTATGTATGGAATATAATATCGTTTACTACGATTAACTCCCAAATACATAACTATACCACTAGAGGGAATAATGTGTTTCATCTCTCTAATTGGAAAATGACAAACTCAATGAAATCGCTATTCTATAAAGGACTCGATGAGTTTAATAAGCTACCACAAGACATCAAGCAATCTAATACCATTTATGTATTTAAAACGAGGATCAGTACACATATCCAGTCACTATAAATCACCAGAATGTATTACAACATAATCAATCTTGTTCACACGAATTTTACTAAATAAATGAAGTTCTTCTTGAAATCTCCGCCACGGCTCCTCTGGGTAGAGCTCATCCAAAACGTCCAATTTTCCATGATTCTGACGCATAATTCAGGCTGAATGTGACCGATTGCATATGTTATGTTTGCTTTGAGGACCGCTGTGGTTTGAGGCTTATTCGCATACACCTGCGACTTCAGAAAACCCCACAAGAAAAAGTCTAGCGGATTCAAATCGCACGATCTCGGTGGCCCGTTCATATCACCTCCACATCTTCAAATCGCACGTGCAGAATATCCAATGTGGCATTGAAACCACATGTCGTTGGGATCCAGATCATCCAATTCAGTGCCAAAAGAAGTTGGTAATCATCGACCTATCTTGCTCGTCGTTAAGAGCGATGGCCTGGCCAACGTCGTCCTCAAAGAAGTATGGACCGATGACGACGACAGCCCAAAATCCACACCAAACACCAACTTCATCGGGATTCATTGGTTGCTCTTGGATCCCATGTGGATAGGTATCGTCCCAAAATTGACAGTTTTGTTTGTTCACGTACCCATTTATCCAGAAGTGGGCCGAATCGCTGAAGATGATTTTTAGATGGAAATCAGGGTCAGTTGGCATTTGCTCCAGATCCCATTCAGCGAACACACGTGGTTGTCTATGGTCGTTCACCTTCAGTTCCTGGGTCCGTTGAATTTTGTGCAGGCCCAAGTCACGATGTAAACTTCGTCAAGTTGTGGTCTGCTGAAGGCCGAGTTCTTGTGAGCAATACAAAATCGACTGCCTCGGAATCTCCTGTACACTCACAGACAGGACGATATTTTCGGCAGATCTTGCGTTTCGTTGACGTACAGGTGTTAGTCGATCGTTAACTGAATCAGTGGGCTCAAATTCATCCACCCCATTGCGAATAGTCCTCTCGGTAGGACGGTTATGGCGACCGTAAAATGGACGAAGCGCGCGGTATGTTGCCCGAACAGAACACCCATTTTGATAACACAATTTTATTATTTGCACATATTGCTGAATGCTAGATCCGTTCATGGTAATTTGGCAAAACAGCCTGAATACCAAAATGGCAACAAATTTGACAAGATGGCCTTTATTAATTGTCATAGTTCGGAAGTCCCTTTTGGAAGAACCTATATTTTCGGCGCTAAAAACCAAACAAAATCAGAATGTTACTGCATAAATTTTTTTCCAAAAATTCCCTGCTACTGAAAAGGTACTAAAAGACGTAAATGACGTCCGGACTTGCCAAGTTTAAAACGCACTGTGATATGATTGAGTTGACTGCAATAATCACTTTCTATACCGATAGACGATGTGTTTATTTTTTTGTCATAATCAACATCACAGAACATTAGAACTGTCAGATGAAAAACTAAAATTGTAAACAAGTAGGGTCACTACATGAACATGAATAACAACAGAACTCAAAACCCATGGAACATGATTCTACACGCACTACTTTGCATAGATTATTTTTTTTAGTAGTAGTAGTAGACTTTATTTTAGGAATCCTAATATACAGTATATAGTTATGCATATATGAATAATTTATATACGTATATAATTTTACAGTGCGTCATGTATTACAATTTGATATATTCTAATAATAACTTTTTGAAAACTTTTAAGGAATTTACATGTTTTATTTCATCAGGTATAGTAGTCCAAAAACACTACCTTGTGGTACACCTATGTCATTTGTAATTTGATCTGATATTACATCACAAATTTTAGTCCTTTGACTTCTTTGCTCAAGATAACTATTTAATCAGTTAAAGCTTTTCCAGTTACACCATAATACATCAGTTTATTGATCAAAGTATCTTCCATTTCCACTTTAATTTGTTCCTTATAATTCATAATTCTCGAGACAGTCGATAGTTTTAGTTCCAAGTTATTGCAGATTAAATGGTTTATGATAATACTGAAAATATTCAAAAATATTCTTCTTCTCTTTCATCATATAATGGCCTCAGCTACTAAGACTCTAACGTATTGACTGTGCATTCAATTATTCAATTGTCAGCTGTCAGTTTCGAGTGCTGTCCACTGCCTCTTCTTCTTCCACATTTTTTCATTATTGATTATTTGTAGAAAATTCCGCTACTTTATGTTCAAATCCGCTACGCCGCTACCGTCGAGTAAATACCGCTACCGTAGAGGAATTCCGCTACGGTAGCGGTATGTCGCGATGACTGTCATCTTGAGCTGGTTTACTTGTATGGGTAGGTATACTCTACAGTTCTCAGTGGATGAAGCAGATAAATTATAAACAACGTATTGAGATTTATGCAAGTAGAAGCAACGGCAGATGAAATGAGAATTCCTCTTGAGAAGGTAAGAAGTAATAGTAATAATGAGTTAAATATCATATGAATTGTATATTGCACGCAATGTTTTGTAGATTACCTGCCTGCTACGTTTCACAATCATTATTAGTACAACTACGCATTAAAGTATCTATCAATTATCGGTTGTAAGTTCATCCATTTTCTCCTTATTCATTTATCTATGATGAGAATGTACCCATATATTATTGACAATTATACATCACTCATTAACTTTCAATTTATTCCACCGAGAGCGGTACAAATCAGATATACGCGACGGACTGTGGCTGCTCATCGTTTTGAGGTTCAACTCAGAACACCTCGAACTTCACTGTTCAAGAATTTCCGGTAGTGCTGTGTTTTTTCCTTAAAAAAATAATTTTCCACCTGCTCATAAGGAATAATTTGGGTTCCCGTTCCCTACTGGTATATGAGCAGTTATCAACACTTGCCGAATTTCTTTGAGCCAAAATTGTTTTACCAACTGTACTTCCTGATTGTACTTCATTGTTCGCGCCTCCAGGGGAACAGCTAGATTTGCTGAGTTGTATATTCTATTCATGTAAACAATAAATACTTACCCAACTATTAACCAATTTCGCCAGAGCATTCAAGGTAGATTTATCAACTGAAATGAACCGCAAAGAAATTGATGATCCTTGTCTGCTGTATTCCAAAGAGGTAAAAAAAGCTAATTCAATTTAAATGAACATGCGTTGTTAATGCGTTAAATACTCGGTATTAAATTCAGGAGCAGTTCAAGAAGTACAATTCAAGTAATATCACTCCGTACGGAGAATTCATTTCGATAGAAACATTAGGTAGATTAAAAAATGAAGAATTCAGTCTGATGACCTGCTTGAATGCATAACGTACCATCCTGTTGCGAAACAGGTTCTCCTCTTCCTGGCTGCTGTTCTGAAAAAACAACCGATTTTTTTTCAACGTGCAGTTCCTTTCCGCTGGACACATCTGTAACATATTTCAAACATTTATTTAGAAAAGATGTAACATACAACAAAGATATAACATAAACTGCGGAGCGGTATAATATTCATTCCTGGGTAATAATGTATGTGTGTATATGTGACCTATCTTATTTGTATATATCTAAAAGATCAAGAAATAATCTCATCCTTGATCGACCTCGTTTAAGAATTTCAGAAGAAATTATAGAAACTGTAAATGAGCCCTCTGAAAATTTTTGGAAGTATTGATACGATAAAATGCCTGGGTTTGATGTTATAGATATTTAATAATAGTGACATTGTTTATGGCAATTGTGTTGAATATTTAGCCCGCTCGAGGATGCAGAAGATCCAAAAGCATGTACTCAGTAGGTATATATGTGATACAAATATCAGGGCATGAGTATCAAATGTGTGGGACACCCCACATCAATGACATCGGATGGCTGAAAATGCAAAATAGGCATCAATTATATTTTTCAATAAAATACCAGAAAATCTGGCAAAAAAGCTCACTCCACGCCGTCAAGTTCACACCAAAAACCTCAGAACTGTCACCACCCTTACCATACTTGAACATTCCACGGCTTCGTTTTATGAAAAATCATTCACATATCAGGCTGCTACTATCATAAATATGTAACATCACAACCATGTGTATCTTTCAAAAAGAAAATGAAGACGATAATATTCGGTGTGAACATTGATCACAAGAATCTGCAAGGTATTAACTTATCTCTTTATATTTGTTTTATTTTGATTTGTAAAGGTAAAGGTAAAGGTAAAGCAAAAGGGAAGCTGAAGCTCTGAAAAAGTCGGGAGCAGGGAGATCACATGCGGAAGATTTCTACTTTTTCGGTAAATTTTCAACACAAATTGAAAATGTGAGTGGCGACATCTACAGCAAATTACATGAATTCATTATTTCTAGGTTTTGCTCGCTTAGATACACAAAACACAAATTGGATACAGATCATAAAACATCCATTTCCCGAATGCTTATTACTGTTTTTACTCATTTTATTTTTTCGTTTTTAAAACATTCAAAGAATTCAAAGTTTCATTTTAAACATGGAAACATTTATGTTTTTCAATCTTGAAATCTAATACTTGAAACAGTTCAAGTATTCAAAATAACCAACAACAAAGAAGCAACTTGTTATTTCAAGTATTAGACCACGTCCATTGGCCATACCCGTAAGAAGGCCAAGACCTTCTATATTCAGTCCTATGCTGTGATTCAGTCATGCATCATGCTATTGAAATGTCTTTACAATTGCCACCTAGTGGTCGAAAACTCAAATTTTCATTATGTTGATGCTCTTCAAATATATTGCAGGAGATTTCAGTAGGTTTTCAATGACACTGTAGGTAGATTTCTCGAATAAAATGTGGTCACGCTGGTCGGGAGGGAGCGTCACACCATGGGGAAAGTGATCAATGGTTCGGAAATTCATGTGCCCCAAGCAGACGCCTTCTGCATTTGTTCGGTCATGATTTCTGGCTTCGTACGGCGAAAGAACTACTACAAGCTTATCAGCTTGTATGAACGTGAGGGAGCGTAAGCCAACACCTCTGTCTCGTCAATACCGTAGATGATAATTAATAAAACACTCGTAGGGCCACGTTATGTCGATGTAAATAGGCTGAGACCACATATGCTAGGCAGGTGTTAGGAACATTTACAACCATCATTAGCCTGCGGTAGACTAAGATGTTGAAGCCACCATCCTGGAGTGCCATGGTGAACCCCTCAATTTTCGACTTCGCCCACTCGACCTGAGGAAAGCGAAGATCAGGTTCTTTGATAAGCCGATATCTTCAATGTTGTTAAAGAAGACCCCATGCATTGGCATATATCTGTGCCGCTGCAATATAGAAGTGATTCCTGCGGAATTCATGTGGGCCTTTTGCTGAACGGATTCCAATTAGGTGATAAGCACCTCGTTCAGTGTCGAAAACTAAACAGAAATCTAGTTCATCAGCCATTCGGGCAGCTACCCTAAAGAGAAATGCTCTAACTCCCGCTCTCTAATGGTCGCGGACAATGCAGAGAAGGGGATCCCAACTCCCGATGAATTTACGGGCTCCATCCAGTACCATTCAATCATGTAGACAGTCCAAACTCAAAAGTCCACGGCCTTCCTGTTGTCGGGGGGAATTCCAACCGTGGAAGGGACGACTTGGGATGCTAACTCCTATGGAGATGCATCATTTTTCGGATCTTGTCGTCGAGTTGATACAGCTCGTCCCGAGTGTCCACTTTACTGCTTCTAACGAGTAGAGTAAGATTGAAATGGCAAATATATTCGTAGCAGCAACTTTTTTCTTTCCCGACAGTTCCGATGACCAGATCTGTCGGAGTTCGTGCTGATACTTCCCGCAGAGAGAGTTCTTCACTGCTGCTGGTTGGTATACGTCTCTCCAGAAGGCGATATTTTTATTATTATAAATTAAGTCGAAGATAATCTGAATTATTCTTGAATAATTTCCCAAATTTTTAGTAATTCTAAATAAGTTAACGACCTTATTGACCTGTGATTGTTTCGCGATATAAAATATCAGTGTTGAAACTAATGTGTTTATTAGTGTCAAAGACATTATATTTTTTCGGCTTTGGTCTGAAGGTTTTTATGTTTAAATATCATTTACAACTGCGATATGGGAATAATCAAAGGGATCTGGCAAAGGACACGGCACATACAACATCGTTTAGCACAAATATATGAAATAACAGCCAAAACCACAGAAACTTTCAAGTTTCTTGAATAAAACGTGATCGGCCCTAAAATAGACCCTCGAAGTATACCTTCTCCGTGTCTAGAATCGCTCTTGTCTTGAGTGGCGACCTCGGAGACTCTCGGCTCTGCCTCGGTAGACCGTACCACCGTTTCAATTATGCTGGTTTGCTGTCGAGTCGTTTCCGTTTTCCTCAAATCCGTGCCAACGTCTTTGGTGTCGATCGGGCTGGTTCTGACGGTCATCTCGGTCTTTTCCGCGGGTTTCGCCGCGCCGTTTTCTGAAACGACTACGTGGGAACTGATGGGGATGCTCCCCGTTGTCGTTCGAGAGACGACTTCGGATTCGATTCGGGGCTGATCGTCGGTAGTCGTTGACGTTTGGTTGAGCACCTCGGCAGCGCTGGATTTCGTGAAAGTGGGAACCTGAGAGATCTGTTGGGTGCTAGAAACATTGTTCTGTGGTTTGCAGGTGCAGCTGGAGCTCAACGCCGTCGTGTCTTTAGTGTAGTCGCTGACCGATTCTAAGCCGGTAAGTTCAGAGTCACCTTGAAGATATGTACATTACTAGTTTACCACTCAGAAATTTTTGTACTCTTGGAATAACGGATCATTACACATGCGGCATCAATACCTATCACGATAAAACACATATTTTAATATAGCATAGCATTCGTTTTTCTACAAGTGAAAGCATCTTTTAACAGTTATTTTCAATGGGGTTTACAGTGGAACCGATCTTTTCGACACTTTGAGTAATATTGTTGATTTTTTAAGTGGCTTTGCTTTATTTGACCTCAAAAGATCGATACTGAAAGCTAATAAAAGATTCCCGTCTTCAACGATTAACATGCGTTGTCAGTATTTTATATTTTATGAAACATTATATGTCTCATACCTTGTTACAGTTGTGAAAAGAGTTGCAATTCCACGTGGGGGTTGCAAATACTCCCATGCACCCCTCTGAGGTGAAGGCAAAGTATTAGCTTCCTACCCGGAACTTGCAAATTACATTTCCGTTGTTCGGGTCAGTAGCCACGTCTTTTTTCGTTTTCATTAATTTCTCGACTCGTTTCGGATGCTCATATTGACGAGGCATGTGTAAAAATCCATTGAGTATACTGTGATAGTGGATTTACCTGTCAATATCGAATCTTTCTCCTTCATCAGCTTGATCATTTTTTGTTTGGCCTCGCTGAATTCAGCTACGGCTTCCGGCGAAGGTGTTATTGGTTCTTTCCCAGAGCGTTTCTTTACTCTCTCACCTTCGATTATAACGACTGGTATGTCTTCGGTTGTTCCGATTTCTGTCTTCCCAATTTCATCCATAGTGGCAGTTCCTTCGGTATCTCCTGACAATTCCGTTATTTGGGTAACCACCTAGGAGCAAATTGATTTTATTACCGATTGTTCATGAACAACTTACGTAATTCTATGAGGTAAAACCAAGTTATGTCCTGCAATAATAGCCTTAGCTCTGATGCCTGACTATTCTTTTTTTTTACAATCTTTCATATCACTAATGGCCGTATTCTCCGTACAGTATTAAGCACAGCTTAGACTAGCTTAATTCGTAAATTTCATTGCATGGTAACGAAAATCAGCTTTAAGCCCGCTGGAAGTTAATCCCTCTCTTTTGCGGTTAAGAGCCTTTAAACTAAGCCTCCATTTTTGCGGCTTAAAGCCTTTGAACTAAGCTTTTATGAACCTAATCCAGCTTTCTGTCTCGCCTAATTCGTAAATTTTATATTCACCGTAACGAAAATCATCCTTAAGCTCGCTTGAAGTTAAGCCCTCCTTTTACGGCTTGAAGCCTTTAAACTAAGCTGTCATGGACCTAATCCACCTTTTCTGCGGTGGGGTCGGAGAAGCACCACTATAACAATTGTACGAACAAAGAACAAGATGTTTATACACCTACAAAATTCAACCTTCCGTCAATGATAATTTTCGTCGAGGGCGAACTAAACTTATGTGAAATGGCACTTGTCACTTGTGTGACTACACTTACCTCTATAGTTCCGTCTTCCTGGTAAGTCAATGCAGTTTCAATAAGACCAGCCGGACCTTCGGTGATGACTTCCAAATTACCGGAAGTGGTCACTGTCGTTGTGACATGAAGACCTGACGGAGGTTCGTCCAAACAAATGGCTCCGGTTTCCACTTCGAACGGAAAATCTCCGACGAATGTTTCTTCAAAAATATTCTCCGGTTTCAGGTCTGGTTTTTCCTCTTTGTCTTCTGACGTGATGGTTTCATCTTTTGTGGGAGTTTCCAAGACATCCAAGACGACTGCTTGTAATACTACCTCTTCTTCTGGATCAGCACTGCTGCCCTTATCAGAAGCAAGTAAGATTTGGTTGTGTTTCTGCTCGGTTGGTTTGTCTCCTCCTTGGATTGGTGTCTCTGATACTTCTTCTACCGGTTCTTCTGAAGTAACAGTTTCTTTTGTGTTATCAGTGTCATGTCTTGAGGCCTCTGAAAGATTTTCTTCAACAGTTTTTTCACTTTTAGCCAAGTCCTCCTGAACAATATCGGACGCCTCTGCTTCTTCAGCTTGGGGTTTATCCACTGTCGGCTCTTCAGAGTCTTTCGCAGCTTCTGACGGCACAACTTCTTTTTCTCTTGCTTTCGCAAGGTCTTCGGAACCTGTAGCAGCAACTAGTTCATCTTTCAAACTCCCCGGGGAAATCGTATTCATCAAAATCCCAGTTATGTATTTCGCGGCTTCTTCTGGTGAGGCCGTAGATTCTTTTTTGGTTCCTTCCAAGAGCTCCGCTGGAGAAGTAATCTTTTCATCTTCCAGAACTTTTCCCTCTACAGCTTTGACAGGTGTTTGACAAGGCTTACCAAAGGAAAAACAAGGAGCGGTGTCACCACAAACCATACCACAAGACAGCGTCTCTTCTGCGCTTTTTTGGTCAGCGGAGGGTTCCTCCGAAGCTATGAATTGCTTTGGTTCCAGGGTTGTATCGCCATCAGGTTCTGCAACAGCTGTCACATCAGAAGGTGAGGGTTCTTCTTCCTTCTTTTCCATTATTGTGTCGTCAGGAGTATCTGATATCGCGCAAGGTTTTCCGATAACCGTACATGGAGCCGGATCTTCACAAAGCAGAGGACAAGGTTCGCTTCCCGTGTCTGTGGTTAATTTTACGGGTGGTTGTTCTGGATGGGTTTTTTCTTTGGAAGGTCCAATCTCTGCAAGAGGGGTGTTGTCTTTGCAAATCTGAGGACAGGGTTCGCTTGCTGTATCTTTGGTTACTTTCACGGGTGGTTGTTCTAGATGGACTTTTTCTTTGGAAGGTCCACATGGTTTTCCGATATCTACACAGGGGGCGTCATCTTCGCAAATCTGAGGGCATGGTTCGCTTGCTGTATCTTTGGTTACTTTTACGGGTGGTTGTTCCAGATGGACTTTTTCTTTGGAAGGTCCACATGGTTTTCCGATATCAACACAGGGGGCGTTATCTTCGCAGATCTGAGGACATGGTTCGCTTGCTGTGTCTTTGGTTATTTTCACGGGTGGTTGTTCCAAATGAATGTTTTCTTTGAAAGGTTCACATGGTTTGTCGATATCTGCACAAGGGGCGTTGTCTTCGCAAATCTGAGGACAGGGTTCGCTCGCTGTGTCTTTGGTCATTTTTACAGGTGGTTGTTCCACCTCCATTTTCATTTTGGAAAGAACGCAAGGTTTTCCAATAGTTACGCATGGGGCGGTATCTTCACAAATCAGAGGACATGGTTCGCTCCCGGTGTCTTTAGTTACTTTTCCGGCTGGTAGAACAGATTCAATTTTTCCTTTCGGGCGAGCGCAAGGTACTCCAATAGTCGCACAAGGAGCGGTATTTTCAATCGGGTAAGTATCGTCTCCTGTATATTTGGCAACTTCATCTTTGGGAGTTGCGCAAGGTTTCCCGATCACAATGCATGGTGCGGAGTCTCCACAAATATTTGGACAAGGCATAGTACCTGTTGCTTTCGTCTTTGTCCCAGGTACTTTAGATGCTTCATCTGGGAGCATTCCAGCTTTATATATAGCACAAGGACGGTTTATAGAAGCGCAAGGTCCTTTTTCATCGCATACGAAAGGACATGGTTGGTCAAGTGCTGTGTAGTACCTAGATTCTTGACCTTCTCCCAGAACAGGAGAACCACCAGAGCTAGTTGCAGTGGGTTTTATATTCAAATGACTGCTTTCGTTTTTTTCAGCAAAAGTTGGAGGAACGGAAAAAATTGTTTCTGTGGGTTTTGAGTCGTCGCCTGGAAAAAATAAAACAGTGAAAATGAATGTTACCTAAATATATGCATCGATATCCAGGTATGTCCTGAGAGTATCTCTCACCTTTCTCTTTAGCAGCTCCCCCCTCTCCTGGAGATCCTCCAGCCCCGACGTCTCGAAAATTGTTGCACTGACACCACTCATTCTCAGTCTGCGGCGGAGATTGACACGAGCAGTCCTTCTTGCTGGGAATCGACTCCAACGACCTCATGTGGATCTTCCTGCTCTCCACCAGGTCGGTCAAGTCTTTGATGAGCTTGGCGGCTCCTGTTAATTCTGGCAGTTTGGAGCACTCTTCGCAGGGAGCGATCTCCTTCAAGGTCTTGCTCAGCTTCCTGGCGATGACGTGCAAATTCGAGTCGCACTTGAAAGTTTCCGATTGATTTTCTTGGGGTTTTGGAGATTGCCGTGGGGTGCAAGTCGCTGAAGTCTTTGAACTCTCTGATAATAGAAGGGAATGTGGAATCAAAAACAGTATTCCCCTTAATCTCCAATCATTTGAAAATACATATTCAAGTCTTCGTTCAAAGCAAGTATGATACCTCAGGTAAGTGGGTATTAAGTATCTATTAAACAGAATCTTGAAAAAAAAACAATAAATAGACTCGCCTGAAAATCTAACTTCCACCTTGTGTTACTCTGAATTTGACACGTAATTGAATATAATTTGTCTACATAGATGACACTTTGATAATATCATATTCTGATATTCCCAGGTTATTTTGCAAATAATATATTTAGAAATTGAAAATAATCAAAATTCAAAGCGTTAGATTCATGAGTTTGCATTATTTTTGACTTTTAATTAATGATTAGCGCCAGTGTTCATTCTCTTGCACTTCAACCCCAGTACAAAAATATAAGAACGAACAGAGAAAATCCTCTCCGCGCCGTATAAACTCACCCCCGAATCCCGGACTTCTTTTGGCCAGCATCCTTATCGTCTCAGCTTCGTTGAGCTTCTGCTTCAAGAGATCATCCTCCAGCTTCGAGCACATGCAGTCAAGCGACTTCATCTCCTCCTTCAGACGATTGTTGATGGCGTTCAGATCCGTCATGTTGGAACAAGCGACGCATAGCTGCAGCTTCAGCGCGTTCATCTCCCTCATGTAGCTGTCCTGGCTGGCCGCCATGTTCTCGGAAGTTTTGTTCAGTTCTTGCTGAAGCTGAGCGTACTTGCACCTCTCCGTCTGCAACTTTTGTTTCATCGGACCTGTGGAATAGTGTGATAATAATAATGATAATGTTATTAATATTAATAACAAGACCCATCACAACACAACAAAGTTTTTGTTTCGGGGTTGAAATTAGATGATTTTAATGTATTTCCACGTGTTAAAACCGAAAGTGACCATAAAAATTATATATTAGCTCTTGTTTTCAAGATATAGTATCATTATATTATATATATGTATATTGAGTTTTCAACAAATGAAATATTTCATCACCAACAGTTGGTACACATGTTTGTTTACATAACACCCCTCTCATCAGCTGTTCTTAAGTAGTAAACATAACCTATGTGAGTTTGTCAATTGTACGCACGTGGTTGCTATTGAAATTATCGTGTGAAGTTGATTTTTAAATTAATTTAAGTGCTGATCTGAAATGCCTCGAAAGTGTGTGAATTCTGTCGATAGCTTTTGCTATATATGTGGTGAAATAACATTTAAGGCTCAGAAACGTAAAATGACACCTATCGTTAAGACAGCCTATGAACATTATTTTGGT